TTTTGGAGGTTATTGATTATGCAGCAATAGATAACTAACACATACACAGAATAGAAAACTACATAAAATTATCTAACATATTTAAAAAGTGAATAAATACACTCTAAAAATAAAAAATACAATAACAAAAATTGAAAAAATATAACAGGTTTAACAGAAAATTAGACATAGTTGAAAAGAGAATTAGCAAACTGGAAGGCAAATCAAAGCAATTACAAAAATACAGCCCAGAAAGACAAAATGATTTTTTTAAAAAATGGAAGAGATTGTCAAAAATGGAAAATAAAGAAGTAGGTCCAAAGTAGATTTAATCAGAAGTCCAAAAGCAGAGGAGAGAGAGGTTGGCACAGGAAATATTTGAAGAGAAAATGAAAAAGTATATTCCAGATATCATAAGAAAGACACCAATTTACATATGCAAGAAGTCCAGTAAATTCCATATAGGGTAAATAAAAGGAAACCCACCCAGAGACACATCAAAGTTGGACTTCAGAAATTCAGAAACAAATAAACAAAAAAGGGCAGATTACTTACAGTGAAAAACAATTAGATTTACAGCCAATTTCCCAATATCAATGGAAGCCAAAAGACAAGGGAAAATAATTACAAAGTGTTGAAATAAAGTAACTGCTACACAATGGGAAAAAATGCTTTCAAGAATGAAAGCAAATGACATTTTCAGCCAAATAAAAAAATGAGCATAAATTCCAGAGAACTGACCCAAACAAAAAAGCAAGTGATCCCAGGGGGTCTGAGATACAAAAGGGAACTAAAAGCAAAGATATTGGTAAACATCTAAATATAAATCAAAGACTAAATGCAAAGCTAGTGTACTGTGGGGTAAAAAAAAAAAAGAGGTAATTAAAATAGATAAAAACAAACTGTAAACAGGGAAGGGCTCGCTGGGGAGGTAAAGTATTCTAAGATCCCCTCGGAGGAAGATTAAAATTATAAGATAAAATTATAAAGTTAACTGTCGACTTTCAAGGCTGAGTATTGGCTTATTTCCTAAATCTGGCTGTAGTGACTCTGCTTTGATAAACGTGGTAATCAAAAAACTCCTTTAACTATTTAAAACGTGAAGACACCATAGATGTGGTACTGGACTGATTCAACTTATATGGGACCAAAGAAAACTAGAGCCTTACAGTGGAAGATGACTTAGGCTCACACTGGTTAGGAAGCCCTCACCCTACAAAAGGCCGATGGACCCTCTAATAAAATGAGAAAATTAAGAAGGTGAGGTGAATAAATTTAAGGCCTTAACTTCCTTGAGCTTTAATTTACAAGGGCAAGAAACTTTGGTTTCAGATTTATTATCTTTACATACTCAAGCAGTGACTGATATTGGAGAAACAAGCTCACAAAGATGGCAGTCATACTGTCCTAATGATATTCTCCTGCTCTGTCCCTCTAAAGAACAGCCACATCCTTGGGGGGACCCCAGACTTAAGAGGAAGAGGAAAACAATTGGGGGAATGGTAAAGAAGAATATGTTTTTCCCATTCTTTGATGTGCCTTCCAAGTGTTAGGAATGCCACCAGTTTAACAGTCCCAGCCTCCTTCTAGCTCCTTACTCAGTCTTCCTCAGGGAGGAGGCATAATTTAATCTGTGTTGGTGTTTCCAGAAGGAAAAGGTGGGCATGCACGACTCAGTCCTTCCCCTGTACTTCCTCAGATGAGCAGGATTTCTACAGCTCTTTCCTGCTACACATTTTACAGGGCTAGGTTCTCCCTCTGAAGGGGAGGCTGCCCAGGCCCAGCATCTCCTGCTACTGGGTGGTAAATCTGTGTAATTCCGGTGTTCAGTTTAAGAAGCCTTCTTGCCCAGACAGAGATTATATATTCCAACATCAATTTTACCAGTAATTGATGTAACACCTTGTTTTCATATCTGACTTTTTTTTTCATCATATTTCCAAGTTGGTTCCAATAACTCAGGTGGTGAAGTTCCCCCAGAATCCCCAACAATAGATAATGCATAATTCTGGCTACTTGGTCTATATATAACAATAACCTCAACAATAATAATGGCAACAACATCAAAACAACCACTAAGTGCTGGTTACTATGTTCTATGCATCACACACATTACCTTTAATTTTCATCACAACTCTGAAAAGTAGGTACTATCTCTCCATTGTTTGTTCATTTGGGTTTCTGTGGGATGATGAAACTGTCATCCATGTGCTCTCCCCAAACAAGGGCTAAATTTATATTAGTGGTTTTCTATTTAACCTTATATACACTGGGTACCACCTTTCATTTGCACTCACTCAAAGTCCTTCACTAGCTTTAAAAATTTTATCTCTAGCACACAGCCCTATACCTATGGCTCATTTACCACACTAACCAGGAACTCGAGATCAGTTTCACCCAGTTGTAACTGTCAAAGCAATTATCAGAGCAAGAATCATGTCCCAGAGGAGATCTTTTCAGTCTAGATCAGGAGTCACCAAACTGACTGGCAGGCCAAATCTAGCCCACTCCCTGTATGGGTAAATAAAGTGCTACTGGGACACAGCTACATTTATTTATTATGCATTATCTACAGTGACTTTCACACTACCACAGCAGGGTTGAATAGTCAGGACAGAGACTGCAAAGCCCACAAAACCAAACATATTCACTATCTGGCCTTTCACAGAAAGTTTGCTCACCCGCAGTTTAGACGTGGAGGTTGATTCCATATTCTCAGTACTCTAAGTGGTCAGTATAATTTTTTCTCACATATGGTCATAGGCTGTATCCTTTACACCTGTGAACTTGCATCAAGTTGATGGCAATAATGATAGTTGGAGCTCTACTTCCTCACTTCTAATCAAATGTCTCTCAGTCAGATTCCTCAGCCAGAGATTCTGTCAGTCTGCAACTATCAATACTCTGGTGACAACGTTTTTAAGGAACATATAGAAATGCTTTTAGTCACTTATATTTAAAAATAAATTTAGAGTCAATGACTGATACTCTCTCCTATATTAAAAAGTATCCAGGTAATTGGAATGAAAGACATGCTATGAATGAATTACTAACGTGTAGTATCACTAATTGCACAACATAAACTCTCTGGATAATGGCTAAATCCTCCATTTCAATCTGAACTATGGACACCCAGCATGAGGGCACTGATACTTGAGACATGGTTTCTAGTTTTCAAAAGGCTTTACTGGATAATGTTCAAGAGGAGAGAAACTAACATTTGTTGATAACCTAACATGTGCTTTTTTACTAAGATAGGCACCTTATAGAGATTACGATATTTAACCCTCACAATAGCCTATGAGGTGAGTGTTATTACTGTCTCTGTCAGATTAATACCCTCAACTGAGAGAGATAGACAAGCATGTCCCAAATGTCAGTCGGGATTGGATACTTCTATGGGGAGGACAATTCCACAACTCTCAAGGTGTCCTTGAGTTAAATAAACTCAAAATTTGCAAGGTACATTTTATCCAGATTGTTACTCTAAAAAGTATATCATCAACACCTGCCAAAACCAGACCCCCGCTGTGCCAGTCATCACCTCTTTAGTTGCTGGACTGTGAGCAATTTACTTCTGGGAAAGAGTCTGGGATGGTACAAGGGGCAATCAGAGAACTCAGGAAAACATACATTCACCAACTGGTATGAAAGCATTTCAGTATTGTAACAACTGGTATAACTGTACCAGTGCCAACTTGCTGAAAAATAAATCTGTGGAATTCTTTACAATTCCAAATCTGCAATTCTGCAGAAGCATAACCAAGACTAATTACAGAAGCTATGCAATTGAGTAAGCGATCTGGGAGTGATGTGCCCATTTTAGTTCTCAGTGATTGGCTATGACTATTCTGATGTTAATTCAGCTCAACCGAAGATGGTAAGTCAGTGCTTCTCAAGTTTTTAACCCATTCTCCCTACAATGTGTTACCATGCTTCTGTATCACACCCAGACTGTCTGATGAACCATTTCATGCCAATAACTAGAATAGCTAGAGTCTCAGTGATCTAATTCTGAGTGGATTTGATAACCACCAACTAAGAAGTGCCCTGCATTATTCAATGGGTATATATCGGGCTACTCATCAGCACTGCAGAGCTCAGCATGTACCAAGTGTATATGGCACACCATAAAAATCAGATTTTAATGACTGACTATGTTAGTCCTTCTCCTTAATAAATGCTTTAAACAAAAAGTGTACCATAGTTTTATAATTTAAAATTATATAAATATAGAGAAAATATTTTTCATTTTAATGATAAAACTCCATGTTATGTAAGCAGGCCATTCGTGGAAAATATTTGAAAATTACGTAGAGAAAAAAAAGAAAAAAGAAAATGCTGATTATTAAATATATGATAGAACAAACATTTGAAGCAGCATCACGGCACAATTTTAACCACAGTTATAAAATTATATGTACTTGATTAAATTCTCAACCCTAGATTAAAATAGCCTCTTTTTACAAGTATAGACCCTGCAAAACAGTCCAACCATCCCTCACAGTATAATTTTCATTCCTCTTTTGACTTATAATGAAGTGTTTTATTTCATACATAATCATAAACTGAGATTAGTAAAGTGGTATTGCAATAAGAAGAAGCTAGGAATAATTATATGTAGAGCAGAGCAATAAGAATATCTCCTGTCATATATACATGTATAATTCCTTTAGGTACTCTCATAGGATTGTGCTTTTCTAAATGGAAACATATTCATGCTCACTGAATAGTTACTTAAAAAAAAACAAAACAGATCATAGGCAGTAATTTTGTTTTCCCTTGACATTAATAAAAATGTATCTCATTCCTTCTTCAATAGGCTCCTTCCAATCTTAACAGGCTGAAAATATCTCTACTGTGTAAAAGGCCTCCTCTTGCTACCCAAAGGAAAACAAATTCTCAAAATGTCAATAGCCTTAGTTATTCCACAAATAACAAACATTTTAGTAACAGGAAATTATGTTGGAATAATCAGAAAATAAAACTTAGAACTGACATTTAATTGTAAAACTACTCACCACTCCTGGCTTACAGTTGTGATAGCAATGCTGGGAAGTGTCCTCAAAGGCAGTGTGGTTGGTCTGGAAATGCCATCTCCCTCAGGAGTCCTTGCTGTCTCACTCTGTCTTTGGGACAGTGGTGGTAACTGTAAGTTTCCTGAGCAACACCTTCTCCCTCTCCAGAGGTCAATCCCAAGTGTGTTACTAGAAGAACTGTAGGATTTACTCAAGCTACATTCCAAATAATCTTTAACATTCTGGAGGAACCACAGGGAAAGAAAAGAGAAGAAAAGGAGAATGAGATTCAAATGTTTAAAATGATGTACAGTAGAGTGAAATAAGAATCCAAATGATCAAGTCATCCGTCATAAAGTCCTGACTCGTGATCTCACAATCAGAATCTAATATTGACGGCAAAGCCTTGAGAGAAAACAAGAAGTGGGCGGGGTGGCTAATTCTCAACTTTTGGAATTCTTGGTGATTTTTAGGGTCCCCATTACAGGTTACCAGTTATAGCATGTGGGTTAGAGGGCTTCCTATCTTCTTTCTCTTTTGTAAATTTTTCTTTCTTTTTTTCCCTTCTTTCTCTTTGTTTTTTTTTAAACTTGCTAAAATGAAAGCTTGTAATTGAACATATATTTTGGAAATCAATGTTATCATTCTGCAACATGGGGGAAAACTACATTAGCTAAGGCATATACTTTCTTGTTTAGTGTTTTAAAGTAAAAATACTTTCTATCTTAGGACAGAAAGATGTTGATAATTATGGATAACTGACTATCTCTGTTCCCATAAAAGATCTTCTCAAGTTTCTTTTTCTTTCTTTCTTTTCTTTCTCTCTTTTCTTTTCTTTTTTTTTTTTTTTGGTAAAATTATGTAAGAGCTCAGAAAAAGAAGAGCATACTTTATCCAGCCCTGAACAGAACTTCATGTGTTCAGTGCATCCCCTAATGCTGACATGAATGAAATAGTTGTGAGAAGATAAAGACATTGTACTATAACCACTGGTAAGAGTTATTCATTTTTCCTAGATCTCTTAGTGACTGTGGTTCCTGGTACTGTTGGGAGTGAGAACCCCAAATGAGGTACTGCCTGTGTACCATTCATACAGGCTCAAAGACAGAAAATGTCGTAACACAGCAAATACCCATGGAGAGCAACGCGGAGTTCAAAAGATAGAACTGTCACTCTCTCCTCTTATCTTAACATGGAATAATGGAAGTCCTATCACCGGGCCAAGGTGTCTCACCTGAAATTCACTCTGTGGCCCTAAAAAGACAGGTCCTTCCTGCTAGTCTTTCAGAAAAGACTTAGGAGAACCTGGGAATAGACCTCCAAAGGTTTAAACAAACAGAAGTTCTCTACCTCCCACTCCACCCATCCCTGTCCTAGTTCATACAAGAAGAATTAACTCAAGTTTCAGGGTCTAGGTGGGTTCGTGCAACAAATATTTGTTGCACACCTATTACAGTTTTGCACTGTGCTACTCAAGAAGGATACAACAGCAAAAGGAAGCACAGTATCTATGCTCACAGAAACCAATATTCTAGTGATTTATGCTTATCTGACACAAGACCACATTTTGATGAAGGAAATTTGGGCATGAACAGGCCTGACAATTTGCAGGGGCCCCACTCTTCCTACCTGAAATGGGATATCATCACATTTTCTTGTCCTTGACAAGAATACCATTTATTTGAAATTTAGTAGGACCACAATTCAATAACAAGAAGACAAAACAATCTGTAGTTTTCCAAAGTTTAAAATATTCTGGAATGTGTCCAGTGTTTCATTATTTACTAACTGGCTGTTATTTTAAATCCATTGTAAGCCTAGCACTTAGTGTAGTCTGTGTGTTTGTGTTTTACAAATAAGAAGCTGAGGGGAAAGCTTGTATATGTAAGTTTTTTCTCAAAAGACATAAAGACAAGTTAATGAAATAGAATACACAAAGTATTCTTGAAGAGATTCAAAAACAAACTAAGAGCAGAACTCATGACTGTAAGTCAGACTACTTTGAAATATTCATGTAAAGAAAGTACTGGTTATCTGGAAAGCAAGTCATGAGTATATATTTCACCTGAGCTATGCAAGAGACTTTGTACCAGAGAACAGAAATAAGGATATCATTTAGTTAAACCACCAACCACTATAGTCTCCTTAATAAGGTTTTTGGATATTTTTCTCTTTTAGAAAAAGGAAGCATTATCAACTAGGTTTAATTGTAGTAAATGAACTAAATGGGTGCTTATTTGGTATTTGCTATTTGAAAAGTAACAAAGTCACACCTGCCAAAAAATACCTCCCACACTGACTTGCCAAGAGGCTTGAATTTACAAATTTGAAGTCATTCTTTGAATTAAAAGAATTCATTTTAAAAGACTCCTTGAAAATGTATTGCCACAAAAGAACATAATGGAGTGGCTTTTTAGAAATTAAGTTAAACACTGGGAACATTAATATTGTTTCACAAACACTCATTAGCCCATCTAGAGTTATTCATAATTACCTCAAACTCTCTCATTCATACTCATAATCTATATAGCACTCCCCCCCCCAAAATTGCTAACATCCTCAAGGGAACAACGTAATTCAGTCAATTCTCAATTACCGAATTTGAGACCTTAGACTTACATTCCTATTTTAACTAGCATGATTCTGGCTGACTACACCACTCACCAGATCAAAGATTTGGGGAAAAGGAACATTAATTTGAATGTTACTTCTGGAAATCACGAATTTTAAAATGTATCATACTGCCCCAGATTCACCCTATATCTCTATAATCCCAAGGGATATAACCCAGTTTGGGATTATCCTCATGCTCCTTGATAACTGTTTGTTTAAAAATTGATATTTTTGCCAATATAATTCCAAAAGGTTATCACAAAGGAGAAGCTAGTGCGAAACCCTGCATCTAAACGGGAAAAGTCTGAAGGGAGGAAGGGAAGGGGATGCCAGAGGGACTCAGTCCTAGCCCCGTATCAAAACCGACTCATTTAGGACCACTGAAATGCACAGTTGAGGCGTATCAGGGGCTGAGTAGTTACGACTTTGTTGGTGTTGCTCTTGCTTTATTTTCCCTTTGTTAAGTCTGTCCCAGTCATTTTTGGAGCTTGCTCCAATTTTTGAATTCTGATTAAACTCCTGGTGAGGAAATGAGATTGGGTATTTCCAAGGACTTCCAGTGTGCTTGGGTACAATTCAATCTGGACCATAGGCCAGAGCTTTTCAAACCTTATAAAACTGGAAATGGAAATTATGGGAAGCATCAAGTGACACTTAGGGACTCTGTGAAGACTAAATGTCACGATGCTCCATGAGACAATAACAAAAGTAATGTTGTTTTTGAAAAACACAGTTTTATCATAGGCAATCACCATCAATTATGAGTAGTTGCCCAGAGGTAAATAATATATTTTATGTATAAAATCAGCCCCTCCCTCTTTCTGTGTGTGTGTATGTGTGTGTGTGTGCATGTGTGTGCGTGTGTCACCCACACACATATTCCCTGGTTCTTCTTTCCTACTCTCTTTAGCCATTTTCCCCTTTCAACTCCTCCCCAAACCAGTAATTCCCACCTCTGTAAATTATTCTGTAATTCCTAGAGTCATAATTAATTGCTTGTGCTTAGTACCTGAATAGCGCTGAATTTGTCCCTCACTTCTGGGACTTAGTTCCCAAATGCAAAGTATTTAATGTATACTGTTCCTATGTCACTCATCATATTAAGTCTCCTATTAAAGGTATTTGTGTACTGCACATAACTGTATGCAAACACAGTAGTCACAGTTATTCATTTGCTTATTCTGACAAAGCTAAACATAGTGTCTTACATGTGGTAAAAGCCTTTGCATATGTCGTTCCTTTTACCAGAAATGCTCTCTCAAAGAAAGAAATAAGAAAGAAAGAAAGAAAGAAAGAAAGAAAGAAAGAAAGAAAGAAAGAAAGAAAGAAAGAGAAAGAAAGAAATGCTCTTCCCTCTTCAGAGGCCTCACTCCCTCATTGCCCATATGTCCTCTCTGTCTGTATGTCATCTCCTCACGTTATCCCTCCATAAACACTCTAGTCTCACCATCCAAGCGATCTTTACCCACTGACCAACTTCATTTTTCTGTACAGCCCTTATCATACTTAGGATTTTTTTATAATCTATCTATGGATTTTTTCCCCTCCTCTCTGGAATATAAGCTTCAAAGGGACATGAACACTATTTATTGACTCTCTAGAACCTAATCAGTGTTTGGAAGATAACAAGTGCTAAATTAATACTAAGTGAATATTTAAATCACTAAATAAATGCTGAGTTAAAATAAATAGAAATATGATAAAATCCTCCTGACTTAGGGGTGAAGACTTACTTCAGAGTGTGGCATATAAAATGTAAAATCTGCTAAGTTGCTCTTGTTGTGAGGGAGGAGATACTGTGTGTAACAATAAGTATGAGCTTTCACACTGTACTCAAAGAGTCGAGGTGCATTGGCAAAAGTTCTAGGTCATCATTCTCCACTAGAAATAAAGTGCAAGCCACAAATGGGATCCAAATGTACTAAATGAAGTTTTAAATTTTCTAATAGCCACATTAAAAAACTAAAAAAGAAACAGGTGAAATCACTTTTTTAAAAAATTTGAATATAGTTGACATGTTACATTATTTTAAGGTACAGGTAAAGTTACTTTTAATAGTATATTTTACTTAAACTAGCATATCCAAAATATTGTCATTTCAAAATGTAATCTATATTAAAAATTTTTAATGATATACTTTACATTCTTTTCTATTTATACTATTATATATTCACAATCCAAGATCTATTTTTGCACTTAGAGCACATCTCCATTCAGACAGGTGCTTAAGAGGCACATGAGGCTAGTGGCTACCATGTTGGACAGCACAAATCTAGGTAACAATTATCCACCCTGGTAGGTTTAATATTCTTTGAATGTGCTTTTCTTTTTTGCACATTCTTTTTTGTATGCAACAATCCCCATCTTTTGTTTTTTGACTGTGGAAACCAATTGCCTCAAGGGAGGATTGGGGTTATTACGGTAAGGATACAATGAAAAAGAAAGAATGGTTGTCCATCTGTTATAGATAGAATGTATTGCTTTTTCTTCCAAAAAAAAAAAAAAAGAATCTTGAAGTACACACTATACAGACAGTATTAAGAGAAAGTCCTAAGCTTTTTTTTTTTTTTTAAGAAAAATGATTTCTAAATTCCAGAAGTTTCCCTTTAGATGTCCAGAGCAGAGCATGGAAATAGGAACATTGTTTTTTACAGTGGGTACTGAGAATTCAGAATATGAGATAAGGGAAGTTCCCTTGTGGTCAGGGAGCAGAGAAGGGAGAAATAAAGAAAGGAAATCTTGTCACATGTGATGAGATTAGAACACTAATCAAGAGTAGAAATGGCAATGGCAAAGGGATGTGTTTTGGAGGGTGAGAGCCTCACATTATACCTAAGTCTCCCTCTGGACTTGTCGCTCCAAAAAGTTCCCACAAGCACCTACAGGGACACAGAAAGTAGCTGGGAATTAGCCTCAGCTTGCCTGCTAAGAGATTTGCTTCAACATGAGGCAAAGGGACCAGAAGTCCGTGGGGTGAGCAGACCAAAGGTAAGGGCTAGACAGAAAGCAAAGCTTTTAAGCAACCAGGCTCCCCCGCTGAAAGGTTAGGTGAAGAATCCAGACAGTGAAGGGGCAGGTCAAACTCACACTAAGTGCACTAAGAAGGTGTACTGCTCACAGTGAGAGCAATCATCACCTGATACACACATCACCTGATACATCACCTGATACACATCATGCCTAAGCAGCACTGGACCAAGGACAGAGACTTGACAACAAAAGACCTGGGGAAATGAGTGGTTCCTCCACTGAACAACAGTAGATGCTAGTGGAAAGGGGACAATACAAGATAAGGACAATACCACACATCTATTACTATAATGTTAATTAATGTTAAGTCCCTTTGCCCAATGCCATGTGATTAAAGGGAAGGAATAAGAACTGGGAGAAATCCTGAAAGATAAAGCATTTACCCAAAGACAGAATTTTACATAAACTGGCAAGTTCAAGTTCCTCCCATCCCCTCCCCATCTGTTGAACCAGGAGCTTAACAACAAGATGAATTATTACAGAAAGCAAGGAAAATTACTACTTTTTCCTCCCTCCCTCCCTTCCTTCTACACATCAGATTGGTGGCATATAATTTCTAGCTCAATTACAAACAGAAACTGAGTAAAAACTGGACAATTAAAGACACACTAATAGGGGACTGGTCAACTGAAAGCAAAGGAGATAATTAATCTCAGCTGCCCAAGATGCAAAGTTATGAGATGGTGAGTTTACAGACTTCTGCAGATGACCTGGCACAGGGCTTCTAAAAGAATGCATATATCTAGCCACTCTGGGATCTTGTTAAAATACAGTCTGGTTTTTTGGTCTAAGATGTAGCCTAAGATTCTGCATTTTCTAGGCAATGCTAATGCTGCTACTCTGAGGATCACACTTGAGTAGCCAAGACCTAGAGGATGTGTACATCACACGCTTCTTTTTTTTTAAGATTTTTTTTTTATTTATTTATTAGAGAGAGAATGAGAGAGAGCACATGAGAGGGGGGAGGGTCAGAGGGAGAAGCAGACTCCCTGCCGAGCAGGGAGCCCGACGCGGGACTCGATCCAGGGACTCCAGGATCATGACCTGAGCTGAAGGCAGTCGCTTAACCAACTGAGCCACCCAGGCGCCCCATCACACGCTTCTTACAAGCAGTTGTCAAAGACCCCACTGTACGAGGTGACTCTCAAGGATTAGCTGAACCTGGGTAAAGACAGGGAAGAAAGTCATCAGGGAACTGATAAGGCAGGCAATGTAGAAAGAGGAGTTTCTAAGAGCTAGAAGGCGGGCATCCATCAGAAATTGGGGGTTTTGTGAATGAGACCATAAACCTCAACCCGAGCCCATCTCAAGGCTGCAGAGAGAGCAGTGTTCCTGCTGTCTACCTCGCAGAATTCTGGGTCCAGGTGCTGGTAATGCCTGGGTCACAGAAACAACTAGTGATAAAGTGATGATGTTACACAACCTTGCCGGGGCGCCTGGGTGGCTCAGTTGGTTATGCGACTGCCTTCGGCTCAGGTCATGATCCTGGAGTCCCTGGATCAAGTCCCGCATCGGGCTACCTGCTCAGCAGGGAGTCTGCTTCTCCCTTTCCCGCTCCCCCCTCTTGTGCTCTCTCTCTCTCAAATAAATAAATAAAATCTTTAAAAAAAAAAAAAAAACCTTGCCCACTCTTTGGATAAAATTATGGAGCAACTTCTTCATTGAGCAGACAAAAAGCGGGTAGAATCAAGCAACTCTGATTTTTGGAACTTACGTCATCAGCCGCCACTGCCATAACACTCCTGCTTTTCTTCATTGTAGAGGTGAAAAATATCTCCTCTTAGGATGTCTGTTGTTCAGCAGTTTTGCTGACAATTTTTAAGACCTATAGGAGAAAAAAAAGAGACACATACACAAAAAAGAGCTCAGTATCCTTAGTTGAATACAAATACATGGCTTCTTTGTATTCTCCAAACTAACATTTGAATGTATGCAATGTACATGTATAAGTAAATATCACAATTTCCCAAGTCCATTCAATCTGATATGTGAGAAAAGAGGTTCACTAAATTAAAAATCCAAGAAATCAGTGCAAAGTTACTCAGGAGGAGAGAAAAGAAAAGAGGGTAACACTTAGGCTCCCAAATAATCCATTATCATTAAGAATATAGAAATAATACATATTTGTGAAGGGCTTTATACTTTCTCCTACAATATTTCATTTAATCCCCATAACAGTCTCTGAGATTATTTTCATTTTTTTTTTTCCTAATGAGGGAACAAATGATCATAAAAATAACTGGACCAAGGTAACAGTTAAAACATGGTGGATTTAGAATTTAAGGAACACAAGTCTTTGATATTACGGTCAAAAAAAGAAAAAGAAAAACAAACCAATACAGAAAATAGACATCACCGGAAAAACCTAATTTCAATTTTACCATCAGTTTAAATCTCTTATATGTATAAGCACATAGGCAAATATTTATCACAGAAAATTTTAATTAGAAAGAGCTAGAATTCCCTGGTCTAAATCACACAAACCTGGCCATTTTGAAGAAGAAATGCTGCAATTCATGACATTTGTTTTGTGTAGATCATTGGAAGCCACTTCAGAAATAAAGAACCTCAATAAGGTTACCAAAATTTAAGGGTGCACCCTGGTTGTGCAACTCCAGAGAAAAACTAATCTCGTTTTGAAAACCCAGGCCTTTAAAAAAGGCCCAAATTTCAAGTTTAGGCATCCAGTAGTCTACAAGAGAATATAAAGAATTCTGTTTGCAGAATTGAACTGGAAAAGATATCCTATAGAAATCCCTGAATCCAAGACGCATTAGTCCATATGGTCGTTTCTCAAAATCTTGGTAAAAAAATGTCCTGCATCATGGCTGAACTTAAGAAGCTCCTATGTTTTCTCACTCTGTACATTTAAACTCTTAATACATGCCTGATTTGAAAAGTCTGCTTCTCTGAACATGAAGATATATATAGATTAAGAGCGTGATGGAATTGTAGCTATGTGACTAGGAATACTAAGTAGTGGCATTGTACCATCACCCAGGAAACCAGGGTTGAATTTCTAACACATAATTTGACTATATTATGCAGGAGTTGGCAGCAAAACTGACAGAGTGGGTAAGAGAGTGGGGGAGGGAGAAACTTCGCCTTTGTAAGTGTTCTGGGGAGAGAATCCCATAGGTTTTTCAGGAGTTTGATTCAATATGCCCAGGAAAAGCATTTCCTCAGCATACACCAAGGAATGATTGAACTTTTCTAATGCTGACCAAACAGGAGTAGCCAGAATTTTAGAGCTTTTACTCAAAGGTTCCTTGACACCTAACAAAAATAGACAAATAGTATTTTATCACATAGGGATCTTCAATCTTGAAGACTTCTATAAGGTAGAATCTGAAAAAAACAAAGTTTATGCTCCTAAGTTTTTTTTTAAAAAAAAGCAAGATTCAAAATTTAAGTTTGACATTCAGGATACACAATTAGATATACCCAATGATTATAATTCTGTAAAATAAAAGCATGGAAAAATACTAAAGAAGCTGTGTAAATGGTAACAGTGGACATCATGTAAGGGTTCTATAAGAGGTTTTTCTTTCTTTTCCATATTTTCTAAATTTTTTGTGATGTATTCT